AGGGAGGATTGGCCGCATCGGTCTCCAACCTATATAACAGCAGTTCTCCTTTCGTTTGACTACATCGGCACACTTTTGTGCACATTGGGCCGGTGAGGCCTAACCCCAGTGAGCCCAGAATGGGGTTGCTGGGTGGCCCAGAATCTGCGTGTGTGAGGCATTGTTTCTCACATTGCTTCTCTGTAGAAAGAAGTCTGCCAGAATAACCTGACACAATCGGTGATTGCATCGACCAACGGCTCCAACGGCTGCTCCCTTTTTGTTGTCGCGAGGCCTGGACGGAACGAGTACAAGTCTGGCACGATCCACTACTGGGGGGACATGGAGAGACCTGAGAACTTCAGCGCCTTGTTTGCTTTAACGCGCCTTCACTCTGAAAGGCGTGAACATGTGCTCATGTGTGCTGAGATGCATTAAGATTGTGGTGAAACAGTCCTCGGAAAGGAGCCAGCGACAGTTTATAGTCTAAGTTATATTTCTTTGTATTTGGTTTCGCACATCGACGACCACCGGATGAAAGTCGCACCGTCAGAATGCTTGGGCCCAGAAAGAATCCCAAACAAATGAACACAAAAGCAAGCCAAATGTAGGTTTCAAGAATCTAACAGTCTGAGATCTTAGCCCAGAAGTATGATAGAGCTTCAGGGTGGATCAGCATTGAACAGAGCACCAAAGTGATACTCCAATACCCCAACGTCCAGCGTTTTGCAGAGATAGACCAACAATCTACAGCTTGCCTTGCTTCCCCCATGTCGCGGTCACAGGCGCAGTCACGTGGGGGCCCGACCCTTGCTGGTACTGTGACAGTGTTGAAGGGTTCTCATGGCTTTATTCAATCTGACGCTGGTGATCAGTATTTTCTTCTTCCTTCTGTTTGTCATGACTGGAATGGAGAATTGCCACGAGAAGGAACTCGGGTGAACTTCACGGCTGAAACAGAAGCAGCCTGGGGCAAGAATCCAAAGGCCTTGCATGTGTGGCATGAGCGGGGGGGATGCAAGCACACACCCAAACAAGCAACAGGGGGGCTACGCGGAAAAGTGGCAAAGCGAGAAAAGAAAGCACGAGGGAAACTGGAATGGAAGAGATGACCGCTGGAGCTCTTATGCAAAAAGTAAATGGGGATCCTACGATGGCGCAGGATTCCATGAAACAATACACGAAGGAGCAAAGTTCACCGGGACCATGGCTAGTGACTTGGGGAATTACGGTTTCATCAACCAGGATACAGATGATGGTGAGGAATGCCGTGTTTTCGTCTTGCCATATTCTTGTCCAGATGGAATGCTCCCACTGGAGGAAAGCCGGGTTGAATTTACCATTGTGAGAGATCCAAAGACCAACAAGCCGAGAGCAGAAGATGTTGTCTTTGAGGGACAGGGTGATCCAGAGCAGCCGGTGACGGATGAATTTGTGGAGGAGGCAGATGCTTGTCCGGAAGACCTGGTCTTTGAAAGAGGAGATGATCCGAAGGCGGCCGAAAGTGCTGAGGACTCAGGTCCTGCGCTTGGTGAAGTCTGCACCGGCATCATCTCTAAGGCCAGAAGAAACTTTGGTTTTGTCATGCCTGACGAGGGATCAGGGGGAAACATGTTCATCCTGCCGTCTCAATGCATTGGCTTCAACTCATTTGTGCCGCCAGTTGGCACTCGAGTGCAGTTTACTGTCGGCTGGTCTCGTCAGCATGAGAAGAAGATGGCCACTGATGTGGTACCCTTAGATGACCATGAGGACAATGAGGTCTTCAAAGGTGTGGTGGCGACAAACTACGGAAATTATGGCTTCATCAAGGACGAAGAGGGAGAGCAGATTTTTGTCCTACCGGCCTATTGCAGTGGATGGGGGATCTTTGATGTGGGCACCTCCGTGGTCTTCCGAAAAGTGGAAAGCAAGAAGACTGGCAAGCCGATGGCCCAGGATGTGGAGGTGGATCCCGACCCTCCGGTTCGACCGATTCCACCTACAAGGCCTCCAGAGTCCATGCAAGACGTGGAAGGGGTGCTGGTGAGTCACAAAGGGCAATTTGGCTTTGTGAGAACGAAGGATGAAGAGGAGTTCTTTATCCATCACTCTGACTGTCCTGGTGAATGGTTGCCAGCGGTTGGGACAAGACTTCGCTTTGACAAGTGTCTTGGTGGGAAGAGACCTGCGTGCAAGAACGTCTCTATTCTTGCAGAGCGCTCCAAGCCCTCTAAGACCGAGACATCCAGGGAAGACAAGGAGCGCGTCAAAAGCCCTCCTCCCAAGACCATCAACACACCTCCGCCAGCACCACCGCTCCCGCGCAGACCTAGAACATTCAAGTCAGAAGAAACCGCCAAACTTTGGCAAAGATACTGTGAGGAGTATGGGCATGGTGTGTGTGATCCAGAAGAGCATCCAGCTGCCTTCCTGAGGCAATTCATCCGTGCAGTCTTGCCTGATGATGTTGCTGAACCGGCTTCCAAGCGGCAAAGGACCTAAGCCGGGATGGTGAAAAGAAGCGATAGATCCAAGGGACCGAAGCGGCTTTCAGCTTTCAGATGTTCACCATTTTCCACCCTAAGCTAACTGGACATGCCATGGCAGCCAAAGGACCTTCGCTCACTGTAACACATGCGGAATGCGCAGCGGCGCTCTTCCACCTCCATCTCAGGTGTGGATGCGGGATCGATGGACCTCATTCTTTGCCCCTTCATTTTTGAGCATGTTGCGCGACCATGGAAGGCTATCAGGACACTTCTGCACATGGACATGAGTCGTGGAACAGACTTTTGGAACACAACAGGAGAACACCTTGACTCCTTTTCTTGAGAACTGAAGGATGCAGCCATTTTACAACAAAGTACAAAAACACATGACAAGGCCTACATTTACCATCATTAACCATGAAGGCCTGGTTGATACTTGCAGCATGTGAGCACGATGCCTAGGGTGAAAAAAACACTGCGGAGAACACACAGGATCAATTGGGAAAATAGGTGAAGGATCGGATGAGATGCAGATGCCCCCCCCACTTTTAGGACGTTGGCTGGTGCTTTGCGTCCAGGTGGCTTTGTTGTTTGGGCGGCTGGGAACCTTGGAGATTTAGAGATTTGATCAGATATCTACACAAAAGGTCTTTTTTACTTTTGCCAATACAAGCATGACATATAAATAATTACCCCTTTGCACTTTTATATAAATAAAGCAAGGACCATCTAACTAAACCATTGTCATCATAGGCGTGCTTCTGGCTATCCAAGCCTGGTGTCATCGCCTTGCATTGCCAAGGCTCCAATGTTTCAGCGCTACCACGGGCATCGAACTGAGCCAAGGATCATTGTGTTTTTGATGTTGGAAGAGGAAGATATTGTTTGTCACTAGACCACAAGCAGTTGCACGTGGAAATTTCAAGGTACATCACATGGTTTGTGGTGCAGTAGAATTGACAACAAGCATTTGCTTTGCTTCGCAAGGTCTCCACATGACTACTACCGCTACACCCCAAATGGGGTCAAAGCATTGGCGGACGAAGCGGGCTTAGAGGCGGACCCAGCGGGAGAGGAGAACCGGAGCAATGGCCTCCAACGCGATGGCCTGCAACCCAATAGCAATGGCCTCCAACTCAATAGCAATGATCTCCAACCCATTAGCAATGGCCTGCAACCTAATAGTGATGGCTTGAGTTCCATGTCTTTGCATATCTCCGGAGATCACCAATTGCAAGGGAACGCCTTCATGCAAAGTGGCCATTGAGTGGCTTCACTGAGTGTACAGTCGTTCAATGTCGTTCAGGTCAGTCGTACTGGTTCAATGTCGTTCAGCTGGTTTCAGGTGATCAAGCTGTATTCACCTGGAGATCTCTCATTGGTGAATGGAGCATCTTAGTTTGAGATTAAACCAGACAGCATAGATTGGGAAGGGCGACAAAAAACATCAGAAACTACAATTGAACTATATAGAATGCTCTAGCCCCAACTATCTACTTATGTGGATTATATATATATATATGATGATTATGTGATTATGTGGATTTGGAGCAACAGAATGGCCTTAACAGAAACATGAGACAGCCGACGAGGCTTCAAGTTATTCACGCTAACCTGTTCTTTGACTTGAAGGATATATATATATATACATAGATATTGATTTGTAGTAATATTACATATGGTTCTTGTTATGGCTTTGTGTGTCTCGTGGCTTTGAGGTATTAATGGGAATGCTGATGCCCTACTGGTCAATGGAGCATGTCCTTCGCGAGGCTGAGTTGATGGAGAAGGACAACGCCCCCCAGGTCGGGACAGATCCTTCGGACCAGAAGGAAAGAAACAGAAAAGCAAAGAAGAACTCAGAACAACCTAATAGCGATGGCCTCCAGAAGCGAGGGAAAGATCCTTCGGAATCCTTCGGAATCCTTCGGATCGAGTTCCGCGGGACCCGGGGCCGTTGAAATGCCACTCGAGGGTTGAACGGAGCGGTTGGTGCGTGGGCGGGCCACCTCGTGACACTTGCAGTTTTGAGGCCTTTTGCCGCACTCCCACCTCAGACAAGAATTGATTCTGTATTGCCACATGTCACGTGCTGCAAGTTTCATTATCCATGCCATCCCTTTGCTTTTCCTAGCAGAAACATGCATGTACAGACACCAGTGTCTCTGATGGCCAGGCATCCTTTGAACGTCTTCGCTCTCCTGCGAAAGCCGGGAAGCTCGACGCGACACGCACGCGATGCGAAGCGTGACGCTGGCGTTTTGTTGTTATTGGACGTCGTCCTAGATCATTGACGGTAATTGTACAATCAGCTTTGCTGAAAGCAGATTGCAGTGAGGCCTGGATCTCGGCCAGATATTTGGTGAATCTGACTGAGAGTTAACGACTCTGTGCCCGGAATGCAGTTGGGTGCATTCAACATGTTTTTGGGCAGTGTACATGTAGTTGTGTGCCGAAAGATGCGAGAAAACTGCGGTGCGCAGATATGCCGAATGCAGATGGTGTCTCTAGCTCGATCCGACTCGCCTTTTTGCAAGCTTTCATCGCCAGATCCTTGAAGAGAAGGACTTCCTATTCAGGACAGACCGTGAGAAAATGACGCATCCCATGAAGAACCGCACGGTTAAGTTAAAGCCCTTCAATGGGCCAAGTGCAATGTGTGCTCCAATGGCCCTGAATGCGACAGCTTTCAGAGACCTCCCAGGAACCTCTTCCGCACCAATCAGGCCTATCGGCCCCAGCTCCAAGAGGCGGGCCGCTGTGCTTGCGCTTGGATGACCGGTGATGAGACCGACCGACCTCGTGTGATGAGGTTTGTGCCAAGTGGCCTGATTTCTTAGAAGGCATCTTGCCCTGGCCTTGGCACAGCCGAGAAGTATGTTTTTTTCGGTCTTGGTGGCTGTGCCTTGGCCCTGAGATGCTGGTCTTGAGATGCAAAGATGCAGGTTTCGCCCGCTGAGGCCACGGATGTCGACCATTTTTCAGATGAGCGTCTTGAGGCAGCGGGGGGCGTCCGACAGTGGGTCGCCTGCATCTGTCATTCTGTGGTTCACAGGCACAAGGACTCCGGAAAAGTTCTTGTTGTGGCAAATACGCTCCAATCTCAGTTGAATAGGGAGAGAAACCACGTATCCAGAGATTTGTTTTGTTCTGCCGTCCCAAGCCTGCTCTTGTCTTGTGAGGCATTTATTCTACCACCCCAATGCCAGGCAAGCAGCAAACAGCCGCTACCAGGCAATTCCCTCGCGCAACAAGTATCTCACTTAAGGCACATCCGCCTCCTCCAAGTCATGTGCCTCCTGGGACAGGTGCTCTCCGCTGGACTTATGTCATGTCATGTCTTTGATTTGAACAACTTCTGCTATGAAACAACATTCAGGCTGCAAATGGCAACATGTGGAATATTGCCCATTCATGCTCATTCAGGTTGCAAATCAAGATTCACATCAGGTCAATTGAGCGAGTCTTGCACTCCTTGTTGCTTGCCAGTGCAACGATTGGTTCAAACAAACACTCTGACACTTGTATTCAGTTAACTCAGTTCCCCGAGGAAAGGAATGGCTCAACGGTAAGATGATGAGTCCGATCATTTGAAGATGTTTGAACAAATAGTTTCCGCACATCTGCAAGTCACGAGAAACAGCGGTGTCGAGCAATCAGCGCGGCTGCACATCTGCTGTGGGAAAAGAGTTTGGGGGAAAGGATCATGAAGAACCATGGAAACAAACCAAGCAGATTAGACAGCGTGGTCAAAGGTTTCGGTTGCAGGTACACAGGGATGATCAGTCCCTGCATCCTGGTCATCTGCATAGAGCTTCGTTGGCGACAGCTATGCAGTGACCCTGTCGCCCCCTGCCGAAGTCGGTTGAGAACCCTTTGTCCAGGGGTGGACACACACACAAATCGCCGGCTTCGGCGCTTTTTCAAAGAACGGTGGCACACATACGGTGCCGCTTCGCGGCGCGCATGTGAAAAGCCTAAATAGTCACCTAAAAAGCCTTAGAAACAAAAGGAAAGAAAGACAGAAAGAGCAGCGCTAAGAGGGGAAGAAAGAAAGATAGGTGTAGAAAAAGGAAAAGGTGAATACTTAGCCCTTGACTGGGGTAGGGAAACGAACCTCAAGAACAACCTAAAAAGCCTGAAAGAAAGCCCAACAAACGACGAAAAACGCAAGAAGGAAAGCGGGGGGCAGGGAGGGGGTGTATGTCCATGTGTGTGTACGTGTGTGTGTGTGTGTTTGAATACCTAGCACTCTAGAATTACTGAATACTTAGACGAGGTGAATTAGGTGCACTAGTTAGGGAGCGGGACTTTAGTCTTAGACCGCCCGGGTAGGATAGACTAGAACAGGAACAACACAGGGAAAGGCACCGACGCACAAGTGTGTCGAGTACCATTTCCCTATGTTGCCCTAAATAGGTAGGGAGTAGAACACAGCGGGGGGGGGGGTTTGGGGAACCTGCCTCATTGGGGGTAAGCACCGTTTTATAGCCCGGCGGCTGTCGAAGTGATGCCGTTTTTGGGCCCGGCGGCCAATGCATTAGTTGATTCTATGGGGGTGGCCGTGACTTCCGGTGAAGGTCCAGTGAAAAGTGGTACGTTGGGGTGGTTGAATTCCGATGCAAAAAACAGCGCCCCAGTGATGGGGATCACACTCAGCACCCGAGTGGGACGGCTGAGCGAAACACACTCTGACACTTGTATTCAGTTAACTCAGTTCCCCGAGGAAAGGAATGGCTCAACGGTAAGATGATGAGTCCGATCATTTGAAGATGTTTGAACAAATAGTTTCCGCACATCTGCAAGTCACGAGAAACAGCGGTGTCGAGCAATCAGCGCGGCTGCACATCTGCTGTGGGAAAAGAGTTTGGGGGAAAGGATCATGAAGAACCATGGAAACAAGCCAAGCAGATTAGACAGCGTGGTCAAAGGTTTCGGTTGCAGGTACACAGGGATGATCAGTCCCTGCATCCTGGTCATCTGCATAGAGCTTCGTTGGCGACAGCTATGCAGTGACCCTGTCGCCCCCTGCCGAAGTCGGTTGAGAACCCTTTGTCCAGGGGTGGACACACACACACATACACGCTCACTACTTTCTAAGTTGTAAGCTCATGTTCTCCCTCGTCGACCACCATGTTTTTTGATGATAATTTCACTGCAAGCCGAGCACTTTAGAACAACCACCAGCAATGCCCAAGCTTTGTGAGTGGCCACCCCTTTCACATCCAGGTGCAAGAGTTCCGCGAGAAGTTCAAGTCTGAAGGCAACGGTCCATGGACTGCCGGACAATGGTGACGTTGGTGGTCATTGGACACAATGAGTATAGCCAGGTGTGCTTCCTCATGTGATTTTGGCGGGCGACTTGAATTGCCTGCCAGACACTGGGGCAGTTTGTCCTGCCACGTTTACACGGGGAGTTGTCGATCTTGTGGTTTGTGCCACCAGAGAGGACTGATTCCAGACATAAAACATCATAAAACCAAAGACTGAAGTACATACAAAGTTGGCTGGCTTGCATTGCCAGGTGCAGCTGCTGCTGAAGGGAGAGGCGGCCAGAGATTTCCTATGATTTCCTGATCATACTGACCACTGTTTGACGACGGCGTCGGTTCGACACACTTTGGACAGATCACCAGCGACCATGGCGATTGGGAGACCTCGTCGCAGGCATCATGGCTGGCAATGTCTTGGGATTATGACATGGGGGGTGTCAGCTGATTTCGGTGCCTGTACAATATACACGGCATCAATTACTTCTCACTCTCTTGCGTTTAAAGGACGTTGGGGCCTTTATAGAGTCTCTTAATCTTGCAAGGATTTGACGCGAACCCCAAGAAACCTGCGTTCCCAGAGCCTGAACAGTCTTGAAAGCACCCTTGCTTGCTCAGTTCGCATGGCGAGAAGAGGAGGTCCAGGAGGACGAGGCCAGACAGGTCCACACCACTTTGAACATGTTAAACCTGTTTCTGGGTACGTCTATATAATATGGAGAGAGCCCCAATCAATTAGATTTTGTGCTCAGGAGGGGTCTTGATCATTTTTTCTGTTTACAAGGTCGATGACTGTCTTCCAAGCAGACCAAGCTCTTCAGCCCCTTCCATGGAGGCACGCAATGGCACGCACCACTCCAAGCAAAATGCAAAGATCAAGAAATTCCCAAACCCGAGGTGAGATACCCCCAGTTTCTCAGGTTGTGAAGCCATCTGAAGCCATGTAGCGCCAATAGCCTGGTTGCAACGAGGCGGATGAATCTGATGTGGTGGAAAGCCTTCCACAGGCATCGTGGCAGCCAGGCCAGAACTGCGTTCAGAAGGCTGTTCAAGGTTTTTACATGTTTTTACAATCTGACCATTCCAACAAACAGGCGCGGGTCAAAACATGGACCACCATTCTGTGCGTTTTGGTGTGTTGATCAGCGCTAGAGAGGGGTCTGGACCAACAACCAATGAACCTACCACTGGCCAAGAGAAGCACCACTGACAATACCTTCAGCTATGGACATAGATTCTGCTTCTGCCGAGGTCGTGGAGTGTCTCTCCACAACCCGGTTGGGGTTCTTGTGGATGCGTGCGCCGAGATAAAGTGCCAAGAGAAGTACAGTACTGCAAAGCATCTATTCGCAAGGTATGCTCACATGCCGCAGCCCTTCACAAACTATGTGCATGACTTCCGGGGAATCCTGGACCGATGACATGCACAGAACTTGTTGGAAAACAACAGTTCCAAGAGCCAAGAGTTCTGTATTTCTCCACCTGTCAGGTGAGGGTTGTTAGGTTTTATGTCAGCTGCCGTCCTCCTCCTCCTCCTCCTCGTCCTCCTGCTCCGCCTCGTCCTCCTCCTCCGGACCTCAACCGCGAGCTCCGGATGGCAGTTTTCCCCGCCGGACCTCAACCGCGAGTATGCTCGGCAGTGTTCCCCGCCGGACCTCAAGCACCACAACACGCCATCACAAGCACACGCCCAGAAACACAACCACAAGCGCAATAACGAACACACAACCACAAAATGTCACAAGCACAGCCACAAACCCAAACACACAACAACTACAAACGCACAAGTGCAGTCACAAATACGCATTCACAAGCACAACTACTAACACAACCACAAGCACACCCACAAACACACACAACCACAAACACAACCACAGCCACCAGCCACAAACACACAACCACAAACACAGCCACAAACACAAACGCAACCACAAACACAGTCACAAACACACACACACAACGCACAGCCACAATCACAGCACACAGCCTGAGGACCCACAAACAAAGTCGAAGAACCACAAAAACCATCAAAAACCATTGCAACATGTTGCTCACAATGGCATGAAGACACATTATTGAATTTTCACGGCGCGGACTACTCCAAGTGGAGTAGTTTAAACTTGTTGCGCACATTTCAGGGTTTTTCGGAGCCAGCCAGCACTGCTTTTCCAGAGGACTACATTCTCATCGACGAGGGCTTGCAGTGTAAGAGCTGCCTGTGCTGACCTTGGCTCACGCAGTCACCACCAAAGTAGCCGTAGCTTTTCACCCGTGCAATCATGTCCTTCATGGACTGTTGTTTTTATTATATAATTATTAATGCTTTGAGTGAGAGAAATTGGATTTGGCTTTGGAATGCTTACGTTTCAATCCTGCGTTGCTCTAGGAAGGCACCAAGTGAGCAAGACCTCGAAATACATGGAGGTCTTCCTAGTGTGCCTTGCTTGGCATGGGGGCGTGCCCATGGTGCAAATGCAGCATTTCTGGGTGGAACCAGAGGCCCACAAGTTTTTGCCATGGGGTAGGTCTTTTTTGCTTTAGCAAGTGACGGGCTGGAATCCTCGAGATCGCCGCATCATGTGAAAACTTCATATGTAGAGGGCCCCCCCCGTGGGTTCAACTCCCCCCTGGGACGCCTCCACTTTGGTTCAACTCCTCCGTGGAGGTTTTGGGATACGATGCAACAGATTCAACAGATTCACAAGCTAAGGTTGGCTGTGTCATTGCTGTCCGTGTGTCTTACATGTTCACAACGTTTTACCTCATGAGCGAGACCTTGTGAACCATCCCTCCAACAGCCCCATGCCTATGAAACAAAATTGCCTCACTCCGCTTGATGTCCCACCAATCCTTTGTCACTGGACGGCGCTGTATGCTTCGCCTCCACTGACACGGATGCATCCCTGCTAGCTTTCGTCACCTACCCTCGGCCTCAAGTGAAGATACAGTCAACTTGGTTAACTTCACTTTGCTGCAAGCAGTTTTTTGATCGACCGTAGAAGAACTTTGAGGTGCTTCACCCGAGCGACCATCTCTCCATCGCTGCAGACCTCTCATTCAGGCAGGGCAGATGCAACCATGTCTATGCTCACATGGGCCTTGGGAACAGCTGGCGTTGGGATGAAATACGCATTCTAGGAGCCTTCTACGATTCCAACCGGGGAGCCAACACCTTTTTCTTGCAATGCTTTTGTTTGAGGCCCATGTGCGCATACCAAAACAAAAAAGACGATACCTTTCCAACTATTCCATTTTTTCATACAAGCGTCTTGATCATCGCTCCTATGTTTTCCCAAACCTTTGGACAGTTGATGGAACTGGTTCAACTTATTGCTTATTGTGTTTGTATTCTGCTATTCCGGTTGTCGCACGTTTTTCCACAATTTGTTTGGACATCGCGAGAACTGAAAAATGCTGTGCGCTCTGAGCTGCACAGGGAGAGCTGACCACGGCCATCGCTTGTGATACTGTCCATAGCTGCTGTAGCACCTGATTCCGCCTCGACGGCTTGGGATCTCCGGTTGACGAAAGCGATGCCAACAACATGCGTTTCAATGTGTTTCAAACGGTTTCAATGTTGCCTGACTCAACGGGTTCGACTTGTGGGTTCATTGAGTGTGGCTTGAAGACTCGGTTCTTGATTGGCATGTGGCTTCATTTGGGCTTCAGAGCAAATGAAATCGACATCGATGGCAAGGAAACTAATGCCGCTCGGTCTGCTGTGACGATCGCCACTTTACATTGTCCTTGCTACTAGTAGTAATGGTCTCCTAATAGCGTCCTTGCTACTGCACATTTTGATGAACCCAACTGGTCGCAAGATGTCGAAAGCCAAGGCCCGCGTAAGGATGGCATTGCCACATGCACCACTCCAGCAGGCAGGAGAGTTCCGCAGACCGAGGATTCGCGCGGCTTGATATTTACTTTCCCCTCTAAGCCACTTGCAGCCACGTGTTCTGATGAAGGTGCATCGCGGCACAGCTGCCTATCCGGGTGGTCGAGTGCTCTTAGAGGGGCCTCCAGGCAGGGGGAACATGGTAAGCATGACCCCAATGTGAATGCCCGTCGAGATCCACCAAAGACTTTTGCAAAGTTACAGGTAGGTCAGTGTCTACGATATTCTACGATTCTGTTTAATATTGTTTAATTATTGAATTCTCCCAAATTCCAAGACTAGACTGGAGGAGTGGACATGAACACTGAAGATTGCTTTACAACTTGCATTTGTTTTGCGACCGTGCCGACGACGACCTCGGAGTTGTTTGGTCCCGAGGTTTAGAACGACCAAGAGCCGATGAATCGGTGTCGCAGGAGATGAGCAGGGATGGTTTCGATGTGTTTTTGCGAGATGTTTTTCCTCGATGTGTCAAACTTTATGGTTGGAAAATGTGAGAGGGTCAGACAAGTGCCTTTGAACCGAGGTGTTTCTCTGGTTTGCATTGATGGAGGGACCTTTCAGCTGCAGATGGCAACCTTTGCACAGGACATGCTGAACTACATCAGCCAAAGGGTTCATTTCATGCTGGGGAATATTACAAGATCGTCTGAGCTGCAGGCTCGTGGGTGAACGTATGGGAGAGGCCGATCTTGGCAAAGGTGCTAGGTTAGATGTGATGTCCCTTGTCGCCTCCTCAATTGAGCCGCTCTAAAAACCTGCCTTTACATCTTAAGTAAGGACCTTGTCATATCGAATTCCGCGTAAGCAATACCCTGGGTTGCGTAAGATTGCGTAAGCATTTCGCGTAAGCATTTCGGAAGTTTGCTCTGCGTAAGCAAAAGTGAGGGCCGCGTAAGTAGCGCGTAAGGCCTCGCGCAAGGAAAGTGATACGACATAGGGAGTGACTCCAGGTTTTTAGAGTGGCTCAATTAGGTTCTTCACTTTCACTTCAGGATCCAAACAGGTCGTATCTTAATCTAGCAGCCTGCTAGGGGCTCCTGGCCTTACCACTAGGAACAAGAAGCTACTAGGGGCTCCTTGCATCGCTACTAGGAGCAAGGACGCCAATGTGTGTACAGAGAGAGAGATAGAGAGAGAGAAAGAGAGAAAGACATGTTGATTCTTGTGCTTCCTGTTTGCTTGCTGGGAGAAGGCCACACGGAAGTGACAAACACACCTGTGCAAATGAGGGTCTCTGATTTTCGACAGGGTGAATCGACACGATTGCTCAAGTCATTGCTGGGATTGTGATGACTAGCACGACTCTATAGTCGAACATACTCGATACAATCCTGCCAACAAGTCTGAACGGTGCTTTCAGGAGGACAATCGTGAATGAAGGAGAAATATGAAAGAAGACGATCATGGCATGCCTTTTGCACTATCCTGGTTGCACCTTGGGACCTCGCCAGGTGCACGCAGAATTGCGGCGAGTCGAATCATCTTTTGCAGCGTTAGCGGACAAGGTACGGGGAACACTGCGGCCGATCGTCTTGCTCCCGGGGTCCCTTCTCATTCTCTCACTTTCTATTCTGGACAGGATCTATGAGGCACTTATGAACCCGATGACGTAAATGGTCCCTTAGAGGTTTCGATTTGATGTTCTTTCGATCTCTGGTCGTCTCTGATCTAGAATCTAGCATCCAGACTTTCACACAATCCGTATAATTTTTGGTGGTTCAATGCATTTATTATTTGCCTGCACACAAGTTTGCTCCACAGGTATACAGAGAAGAGAAGGACGAAACAAGAGGGATAGAGAGAGAGAGAGCAGGAAAAAAAACAAAAGGAAAGAACCAAGAACCCCCCCAAATAGCACCTACGAGTTCAGGAACCACACAGCACAATGGGTATGCTTTGGTGTACCATCCTTTGAGACATTTGTGAGAAGACCCCACCCGCCTGGTATGAAGTATGAAGAAGATCTTCAATTCGGGCTAGGATTTTTTGAGAAGTCATGGTTCGAGACTTCTTATGCGAACCGATGTACATTGTGAATCATTCTGAGTACAATTATTCTTCCAATTTGTTTGGCCATGTTCTCCATCGTTCAGATCCAGCGAGTGGAGATGTTGCTGAGCCAGAAGGCGGTCGAGGCATCCAGCGCGTTGTAGCTTTTTCCATTTTCGGGCAGACACCGCAAACGTTGGTCGGTCTATGCGAGTCTATGTGAGGCAAAGGGCAAAGAACCTGTCTCTCAGGAGCTCATGAGCTTTGTGATCATGGCGCTTTGGAGTTCGAGTTCAGAAAGATATACGTATCGTGAAGCCTTGAAGGTTCTGTGATACTTATATAATGATACCGGTGACTCCATCCTGGTACCATTCCCATGATCTTCAGTGAAGAACCTGGGTGGAGACTTGATCCAGGAGAACTTGGACAGAGCTCTGGCCACCATCCAGCAGCGCAGAGACCAGGAGCGCAGAGACCAAATTTGTGACTGCGTCTTTGTCAGTGCGGTGCTTCAGGAGCTGGCTGCTATCAAGGCTTTTGTCAGGGTTTTCTCACAAATCCAGAGAGGAAGCATGATTTGTTTAACATCCAATAGAGAATCGAAGAGCGATCACAAACGGACATATTTGGTGACTAGGACCAGAAGATCAATTGACATGTGAATGTCGCATGCATTTTGCACCGATTGTGGATTCCACTTTGATGAGAAAGACCCGCCCTGCCCAGCGTGATCTCCACCAAACCATCATGGTGCACAACCACAATGCTGACCTCATGGCAGATCACAAGGCATGGTGTAGATTTGGTGTATTGGCCTTTCGATGCATTTCGGTTTCGATGCGCATGAATTCTGGTACAGAGTCCTGATGTCAGAATACAGCAGAGTTTTTATTCCTTGGAACGTCAGGCTGCTATTGAGAGGATTAATGGAATGATAGAGGCCATGTGAGTACAGTCAGATTTGCAGTTCCGCCTATTTCATTTATCTAAGATCATCGAGGGCTTGCCTGTCATAGGTGAATTAGAAATGGATGGTATGGTTTTGGCAAATATGCTCTACCAACTTCTTTTTTTGGATACTTGTGCCATGTTTGAGCCATACCCAAAGCTGTGTATGTCCTTGTATTCTAGAGATTTCTGGAACATGCTTGGATGGTTTCTATCAAAGCCACAGCTCCCTGCACAGGAACCAACAGAGGCTGGATGAAACATCAGCCTATTTTGTAAATTCCATGAATGGAGCCATCATGCCACGCCGAAAAAGAATCCAATCCAGCACTTCTCATCGGTTTTTTGAGACCAAGCGGCTTGTTTGAGAGTCTCCTGACACTGCGGCAGAATGCATCGTTCGTCCTGCTAGGATGGGCTGCCACCTTTATCTCAGGTGTCCCAGGCTCAGGATGTCTGCTTGTGGTGACGGTGATGAGAGGTGGCAACAGGCACTGGCCTGACCAGACTCCAATCTTCAGAAACCAACAACCCTCCCACTTTGAGGCTTCATGCGGCTTGTCAATATTGGAAGGTTTTGGTTCGCTTCTTGCTCTCTCGGCTTCCACGGTTGCTCAAGTAGTCTAAAGTCTCAGTGCACAAGACATCACAATCACGAGAAAAGAGCAACAGTCACAAGGAGATCCCCAAGGGTGGATGACCGGGTGGCAATCCGAATTGAGATCTCAATGAGCCAGTCCCATATCTCCTTGCCAGCTTTCCCATGACGTCCATCCAGCATGTCAGCAAAGCTGCCAATGCGAAGCCCCAGGCAAGGATGTTATAGTATGCTGTAGTGGCTGTAGATGAATGGCTTCATTGAGTCATCAGTGACAGGATCTTGTGATGACAGGATGTCCCATTTTTGCAGGTGCGTCAGCGAAACGCCAGCCCCGGAGCGAAGCAGAAGTCAGATAGGGATCAGGCAGATTGGATCCATTTCATGGCCTGAGCTTGACGATGCCAAGTCACAGCAGCACTGCACCCAGAGGCGCACCAACCGGAAGCAACGCCTTCACGGAAAGCAGCGAATGAAGCCAAGGCATGGTTGTTTTCAACTCTGTAAACCATCAAGTGGTACGGAAATTGCTCACTGCAGGTGTTTGCTAGCCACGAATGGATGGAAATGCTTGGGTGGACTCTTGAGATGCAGTGAGTCTGATGGATTCTTTGAGACTTTATGACTTGCGCCATGCATCCTGCGCATTCAAGGGCAAGTATGCTGAAATCTTCTAGCAAATCTGTCAGGATATTCCTCTTGGTGGCAACCCAACTGGTCATGATCATATACACGAAGAGGTTCCTGGGCCGAGAGGGATGTAAGTATTTACTGGGTGTCTTGGAGCTTTTTGCATTGCATCGAAATAGACATCCTTAGGTGTACCAATCAAGCACCTCTTCCCCTGCTCCTTTGCTTCGCACAATTTGCAATCTCCGCAATTTTATCTGGTATTGAACCGTGGCAGCATCAAGCTGGACACTGGACAAGACCTTAACTCGTAGCCTTATTGCTATCTCAGCCAGCAGTCAACACTGGATTCTGGATGCTAAGGCTTGTTCTTTTCGCAA